GAAAAATCTCCTAATAATTATTTTCCCTTTTCTAAAATAAGAAATTATAGTGCAAAAATAACAATTTTTTTTGAATCCCCAATAAATATTTTAGGAGGAATGTTTATTGGAGGAAGAAAAAAAGAACCAAAGCATTTTTTAATGAGAAAAATAACATTGAAAATGACTATTTCGTACTTATGTTTATTATTATTTTTATCAAATAAATAAACATAAGTGTATACTTTACATTTTTAGAAAGAAAAAAAATTTTAATAAAAAATTTGATTGAAAGTAAAGAATCTCAGAGTTTTTGAGTTTATTTTGAAACAATTGTAATGAGGAAGTTCTCGAAGGTTAGGGCACGAGAAAGTTCTTTAAAGTTAGAGCTTATACCTTTTCTTTCTCCTCTTGAGGAAATCTTACGGTTTCTCTTCATTCTTCCTCGCTACTAGTGTTTCATAAGGATTTTTGGGGCTTAGAGAGCTTCTCTTTTTCTTCTCCTTTTTTTCTCTTATTAAGAAATCTTAAGGTTTCTCTTCATTCTTCCTCATTGTTGGAGTTTCATAATAATTTTTGGGGCTTTGCCTAGTGACCGCGACTTTATATATGCTTAAAAATATAAATATTTAATACTGCTGCTAAAAGATTTAATTCCTCCTCAACTGTACCAAAAATTAATAACATTTATAGATTCGATAAATATGGACGTAATAAATATTCAATAATTGTAAAGTCACACTTATCAACGCAAGTATACGTATCGTTCAAGTAATATAGCGCTCTAATGGAGTTCTAAATATCGATTCCACTGGGAGTAATATTAGAACTACGAATTAAAATTTTAGAAAAGTAATACTTTAATCACAACAACGAAGTTCAATTTGTTATTTCAATTTGCTTATTTGTCACTAATAGACAATTGAAATAAATATATAATTTTAATAACTATTAAATAACTAATTATACTAATGAAAGTTTGAATGTGATATTCAATATATAAGAAATTATCCTTCTCCTTGTCAAGAAATTATAGTGAATGGATAAAGTGAATCAGTTCAAATTATATTGTGTCAAATAGGAGCATACTCATTCTTTACAATTTGGTTCAGGCATAAAGAACATTGACTAATCCTACGCTTGTTTACCGAATCTGCGGCTAGGCTAGGAGGATACCGGCTCTCACTTCGGAGCTCCCACCTTCCCCTCGCCTGAGGGCTAAAATTTACACTTCAGCACCTAAACGATAGGACCGAATTGAAGATTTTAGTCTGTCACTCTAAAATCTCCAATTCTACGCCCGATAATTTTATTTCCCTATTTATTTGCACCGAAGTTCTAAGGGTTTTGACCTCCCTGAATCTTGGATGTAATCTTCACTTTAGTTATAAAACTCAACATATTTTAACTAATCAATTGACCAGATTGAAAATAAATTAAGATCGAAGTGAAAAGATCATCACAATTTCTTAAACATTTTCATGCAAAACTCGGAATTCATATATAAAATCAAAGTCATACAAACTAAAACAAGTAAATAACTTATCTCTAAATTCTCCCCAAGAACACTCCTCAAAGTTCCTCTGAATCTCTTCCTTTCTTTACAGCACATAGAATTCTTCTTCGAAGTAGCAAGAGGAAGAAAGCTCTCACTTTCCCTCCACTCTCACAATTTCTCAGACACTCTAGTAAATTCTTTATACACTAATGGAACATCTCTAACCTCCAAAACACTATCTTCTTCCACTATTTTTCGGTCAAAATGTTTTTTTAAAGTTGTAGATGAGCTTTCCCAAGAGTTGCCTAAGCATCCCTTCAAAATTTAGCCTTATCCAAAACTTGAGTAGGCATAACCGCCGAGCTCGCCGTCGGCGGCCTCGAGGGTGCCGTCTGCGAACCTTCTTAATGAATTAAATCTGGAGTCTCGGAAAAATCTCGTCGTCGGCGGGGTCGATGGCGCCATCAGCGCCCTAGTTCAATTCTTCACATATTGACCCTTTTTGCTCCAAATTCGCTCCTTTTTGTATCTTTTTGCTTCAGTGACCCTATTTCATCATTCCTACAACAAAACATCAAAAATATCTTTCTTTAAATTGCAATATCATCAAAAACAGTATAAAATAGGTATAAAAAACTCAACATATTTTCGTCTGATCAGTATGTTGAATTATGGTCATTGGAGCAAAAAGATGCAAAAAGGTGCGAATTTGGAGCAAAAAGGACAAAAATATGAAGATTTGAAAAGGACACCCTTGAATCATCATAAAAATTGGATCCATAGAGAAAAAATGGAACGCATTCGGACTAGAGCGAAAGAATTAAATATTCTAAAAGGCCGTCGACGGCGCCATCGATGCCGCCGACGGCGAGCACGTCGATTCTCTCAACAGATGCATTGAATGTGAACAATTTTTTAAGGGACGCTTGACCAACTCTTGAAAACTCTTCTACAACTGTAAAAGAAACAATTTGGAGGCCGAGAGGGGGTGTCCACGAGTGTCCAGGAGAGTCCACGAGTGTCCACGAGAGTCCACGAGGGGCTAGAGGGTCTACGAGGGTCTCGAGGGTCTAGTGTGTCCATGTGTGTCCATTAGAGTGTAGAGAGTGTAATTTAGGGTTAGTATTGTGAGGAATTCTTCGAGAGATTGTAAGAGTGGAAGATCGAAGGAGAATTCTGTGTGATGCAAAGAAAGGAAGAGATTCAGAGGAACTTCGAGGAGTTTGTTTAGGAAGAACTTAGAGATAAGTGGTATTTACTTATTGAAGTTTATATGATTTTGTTTTTATATATAAATTTCAAGTTTTGTTGTATCTGCTCCATGAGTTCTGAGTAGTTTTCTCTGTCTTTCTCATTGTCTTGAGATTTTGTGAAATAGTGATGAAATATGGTTGTGTCATGAGAATGTTAAAGAAGCTTCAATAATCTTTTCACTTCAATCTTAATTTACTTTCAATCTGGCCAATTAGTTTGTTAAAATATGTTGAGTTTTACAACTAAAGTGAATATTACATCCAAAATTTAGGGAGGTCATTGAAAGTTGGGTGCAAATAAATAGGTTAATAAAAATTATCGGGCGTAGAATTGGAGATTTTAGGGTGACAGACTAAAATCCTCAATTCGGTCCTATTGTTTGGGTGCTGAAGTGTAGATGTTAGCCCTCAGGCTAGGGGAACGTGGGAGTTCCGAAGTGAGAGTCGGTATCCTCCCAGCCTAGTTGCAAATTCAGTAACCAAGCATAGAATTAGTCAATGTTCTTTAAGTCTGGTCCAAAGGGTAAAAATTATGTATGCTCCTATTTGACACAATACAATTCGAACTGTTTCAATTTATCCATTCACTTAAATTTCTTGACAAGAAGAATGATGCTTTCTTATATATTGAACTTCACATTAGAAACTATATTAGTAGAATTAGTTAATTAAGTGTTTATTAAAATTACATTTTTAGTTCAATTGCCTATTAGTGACAAATATGCAATTTGAACTATATTGTTGTGATTAAGTATTGATTTTTTTAAATCTTAGTTCGTAGCCTCTAATATTACTCCTTGTGGGATCGATATCCAGGACTCCATTAGAGTCATGTATTACTTGAGCAATACATACACTTTCGTTGATAAGTGTGACTTTACAATCATTGAATATTTTATACACATCTTTATCAAATCTATAACCACTATCAAGTTTTTGGCGCCGTTGCCGGGGATTTAAATCTTCTAGCAGCAGTATCAAATTTTTGTATTTTTAAGCATATATAAAGTCGCTATCAAAAGGTTACATTGCACTTCTCTCTTAATGAATGATTAAAATTTTATAAATTCTACAAATTTTGCCTTTCCTATTTATTCTAAATATTAATGGGTAAAATTTTGTTCAAGAAGTAATTTATGAATGGAAGCCCACTCCATGTATATCTTGTTTTACATTTAAGCTTGATTCATTAAACAGCTTCTATTAAATATACGATGTTGTGACCCTTACTTACAGAGATAGGAGTAGAAACATATATATAAATAAGACTATTAGAAGTGATAGTAATTCAGTTGCTCTTATTCCTCATGTGATATCTGATTCATCAATTTATGGTACAAATCTTTTTACAGTTACTATTCATGCTTTACCTTTGATTGCTACTTTACCTATCTCTAATAATGATTCTTTAAATGTTGCCACAAATTTTAATATATATGTTGATAACTTTAGTAATATAAATGTACATGTTGATAGATGGAAGAATATGAATATTGTGAAGTGGTTTCAGTTACTCATAATGTTATTCTAAATGATTTTTCTATTTTACAAAAAGCAGTGGATACTTTATCTGTTTCTATTAGAAATAATAACCTTATTTCTAAGGATTCTATGGTTGACTCGTCTAGCTAGGGTTTATCACCTGTTGTTATTTCAAATTTTAGAAATTCTCATTCTTTTCAAACTACTCTTTCTAAAAATAAGAAAGGTAGGCCGAGTGAAGTTTCTTCCTCCCATCCATATCCTTCTTAGTTTACTATTTTTTATTTTTTATTTTTGCTTTTTTATCTATTTTTTTCTTATGAAGCTACCTAATTTCTTTGCTTGGAATGTATGGGGTGTGAATAACGTGACCTCTTAAGTTGGATGTAAGAAGCTTATCAATGATAATAATACTGATTTTATTTGTCAACTTGAAATTAACATTTTTGCTGATAATCTTTTGGATTCATATTTTTCTAATTCATTTAATATGTTCTCTTTTGAAGGTAGCATTAATAATTTTACTAATGTTGATAATGGAAGGATTCTGATTAAATGAAATTTTAGTGGTCTTCTGTGCAGCCACGCACCCTCTTGTTCACTAATCTAAGGATTTTGATTAAATAATTTTACTAATGTACATACATATATATATATATACATACATATATATATATAT